GTGGTGGAATAAGTGACACTGGTTTCTTGTGGATTTGTGTCTTTTGACTGTTAGACCTTCTCCCCTGCTGCACTAACTCCCCAGTTCCGTTTCAGAGCACCTGCTGGGCAAAACCCAGCACCTCCTGGGACTCCTTCAGAGCAGCACTCGTGCTCCTGAGCTGGCAGGGGCCGTGTGCTGCCTGGCTGCCTGCTTGTGGCTAATGGAAAACTATTTTGCTTTGGATTTACCTCCTATTTCACTTGCCTACCTGGTCACTACTTTTCTTTCTCAGTGTGGAAATATGCAGAGAACTTTGGATAACAAATTTATTTTCCCTCTCTGCAAGTGGGTCCCCAGGTGGCTGGGGAAGGCTGGAACTGAAGCCCTTGACAGAAGAGTGTACTCCTTTTGCTTTAGAAAGCAAGCAAAAAGAGATCATTAAGCAGGCAGCCATTTATTCGTTTAAGGCAGGAAGTGATGGTTGCAGCCTTGTATGTAAAGGTTTATTTTAGCAAACAATGTTAATTCTCCCAGCTGGTGTTTGCTGCAGCTGGACTCCTTCCCTGCTTACAAGTTTACACGGAAAATGACTCAGGATCTGATCTCTTGGTCACAGAGAGGTGTTTTCTTCTCCATCTACCTGACTGCAAATCAACTGCTTATCACGTGCCACCTCTCACCTCTGTGGAGGAATGGCATCATGTGATGCTCCCTGATCTTTGGGCAAAGGCAGTTGGGATTTCACTGTCACCACCTTTTCTGCCTGACTTTCAAGTGTATTGAAGCACCCTCATGGCATCCTTCTGCCTGGTAGGGTGGGAAACCTGCAGCAAAGGGTGTTTGGCTGGGGCCAGTCGAGTGAGAGCTGCCAGGTCCAGCAGAGACCATCCTCCTGTAGCTGGAGCTCACCTTGTCCCTCTGCTTTGGGTGCTCAGCATGGTGGACAGCCATGAGCTGCGTGTTTTGTCTCCACAGTCTACAGCTGCATCACTTCCAGTTCACCTGAGGAAGGAAGCAATTTCCTGGGAAACTGGAAAACTGGCTTGTGCTAGACAGTCACGTTGTTCTAAGGGTTCTGCAGTTCAAGTAATTAAACCCTTCCCAGTGTAGGCATGGTTAAACTGAGACTTGTCTTCTAGCCTGGTTTCCTATGGAAACGAGCCTTATGCAATCCTGCTGTCTGTCAGCCTTTCTCCCCCTCCTCCTCCTGAGTATTTTTTGCACTGGTAGGCCAGTTTCAACCAAATGTGGCAGAAGTCTCCAAGCTGTCAAGTTTCTATGGATTTCATGGCAATAGGTGTTTGCATAGAGCAGAGGGACTCTGTCAGAGCCTGTCTCAAAGGGAAAGGCTGCAGCAAGGGTTTGAATCCTGCTGGTCACTGGAGAATCCTAGCGTGGAGAAGAGCTTTGAAATGCCTCTGCCATGGGAACAGATGGAGTTGGAGTCTGCACCTGGATAAAACATTGCATTGCAGGCACAGGCGGATCAAACTCAGGAGCAGTTTGCTTTGTCCAGGTGTCTGCTCCATTCCCCTGCTGGAAATGCTCCTCCCCGGGCGCAGGAACTGAAGCGATGTAGGAAACACAACCTGAAATGCCACTGATCATAGCCTGGTTTAATAAAATAGCCTTACATGAGCACTGATTTTAAAAATACTCTGGCTGCAAGGGCTGGTGTTTCAGAAGCTACCCTGCTGGGAGAGGCAGATGGTTGGAGGCCATAATAGCTTCAGTTAGTTCACATTTAATCCATGTGTGTTTGGAGTCAACATCCTTGGAGAGACAGATCGGGTGACTCTGGGAGACAGTTGTAGCAACCCAGATTTAATCCTGGTGCTTGGAGGCTGTGCTGCTGGTCGCCTGTGGTTTCAGCAGCAGCGGGCCCTGGGGACAGGAGGGAAGTCAGCAGAGCTGCTCTGGTAGTGAGCCGTGTGCTGGAGTGGTTTGCACCAAGGCCTTGGACTTGTCAGATACAAGAGCTTGGGATCAGTTACTGGGTAAAAAATGGTGCCCAGTGGTCTTCTCTTGGGTAGTAGATGGTGTTTGCAGTTGTGGCTTGAGCGTGGGACAACACACGGGTCAGAGAGTGTGGGGCTGGTGAGGTGAAGGCTGCCTGGAGTGGGGTGGAGGCCAGCAGTCACCACTGTTTTCTCCTGCAGTTCTGACATGAGGAAATCCTCCATTCCTCTGCATCAGTCTCGGAGGAAACTTTCAGGCAATAGCTCTTCCTCTAAGGTGACGTTACTTCAGCCCTTGGCATTTCTCTCCCCCTCATCCCTAGTTACCCAGTGGGGGAAAACCTTGTCCTGGCCACAGGCTGCAGGCGAGGAGAGCACCCTGGTGAGGCTTTGCTTATGACCCTGCAATGAGCAGGGCTTCCCACACCTCCACCTTGCCCAGGGGCTCATCCCAGCTCACAGCCAGCATGGAGCTCTTGGAGCCACGTGCAGCCAGCCTGGCCTGGGCTCTGAGTACTGCAGTTTAGAGCAAACGATACAAACAGCAAGTGGCTTTTAACTCTCTCTCTTGCTGAGACAGTGTTTGCTGCTGGAGTGTCTTTCCTTGGCAGGGTTGGAGGTGCTGCTGGTGGTGGTGATCTGCATTTTCATTTAAAAAAACACCAACTCTCTGATCTCTTTTTTTCCAAAAGTCATTGATGCCATCTGCTTATGTCTTTTAATAAATGTTTTGGAGGTAGGGGTATATTTCTGGTGGAGGTCATGCAGGGCATTATTTTCCTATCCTGAAAAAGGTGGAAGAATATGGAAGTGACTGGAAGACATAATCTTCTGCCCCAGTGGCAGTGGTAGTTGCTATGGAAGGAGAAATGGAAATCTCAGAAGCACATCCTCCCCTACCTAGCTGGTGCCAGAGGCCCCTGAGATAACTCAATACAAAGAAAAAGTTATTTCAGATGGGGCTGGGGGTTCTCCTGGCTGTGTTCAGACACCGTTTCAGCTCCTGGTCAGGTGTGAGTGTCGCAGCAGAGGGGCTGTGACGCGTCTCTGTTGGGAGCCAGGCCATTCCTGAGTGCCTGCAGGATGACAGTGGCTCACTTCTCTCTTTGAAGTTGCTGGGAAAACAGCTTGTGTGTGCATCTGCCTTGCTGGATGAGCAGAGTAACCGAATTACATCTTCTAATTCCATCTTGGCCTTCTGGTAAGATGAGTGGTGTCTGTCCCCATGCTGACATAAATGAGTCCCTCGTGAAGTGTCTTCTTCTCAGGTTCAGAGATGTAGCCCTGCCCCTCATTTCTGCTGGATTCCTTTCCCCTGCTCTGGCTGCTTGTCTCTGTCTGTCCAAGCTGCTGTGGGCTCCAGCCGTGGCTGGGTCCTCCCCCAGGGCCGTGGGTCACCCCGTCCCCAGCGAGCCCTGCCCTGTGTACCCCCAGCTCCGGCTGGCAGCTGCGGTGGCCTCGCTGCCGTTTCCCACAGTGGCTTTATGAGGTGCTGATGCTCCTTGTGCCGGCCCCAGTGTTATTTTTGGCACTTTGCTTCGGGCTGAGATTCTCATCTTTTGGCTTGAAAGTCTAGCTCCTGCCTTTCAACTTGGAAGAGAAAGGCAGGATTCAGATCTGAAGGTTTCAGCCACCTGAAGAGCCTAGAAAGACAGCATATTTTATCACTTACATAAACACCATATTTTCCCACTATTTATATAAAAGCTTCTGTTCCTTCTCCTGTCTGCACGTACATTCCTCTGAGGGCTCTGAAACCAGGGATTGCCTTGGATTTGCCTGTACCAGGAGCGTGAGTTTCCCCACCAGCACTCCGCAGCCATCGCCGCAGTGGGAGGCTGTGGCAGAGGTGAGGCCGTGCCACAAGCTGTTGAGCTTTTGTGGCTCCTTGTCCTTCACGCAGACATCTGATAGCATGTGTCACTTGGGTAAGGTGCCTTCAACCTCTCTGCCATTCCCCGTTACTCCCCTCCTCACACCAGATTCTGAGCCGGATGGTGAATGTTTTAGAAAGCTGAAAGGAGAGGAGTGTTGTCATCAGCATCCTCACAGAGAGGGGAGGGCTTTATGCAAGGTGTCTCTGCAGCTCTCTGTAGTGGTACCAGTGGTGCAGGAGGGGATGTTCCAGCTCTAATCAAGGGCTGCTAGACTCAGTGACTTGCAGCCAGTGATGCCCACACCGGTCACCAGCCCAAGCAAATTTAAAAAGCATCACCTTTTAGCTGCTCTGAACTGCCTTTCGTTTCAAGCAGGCACAGAGCAAGAGTTGTCCTGGGAGCAGGTGAGTTGCAGAAATGATCACTGACTATTGTTGGATCAGCAGAGTGTAAAAGCTCACCCAACCTCCAAGCCCCTGCCTTGGGAGCAGCTGTTCTCCGACACTTTCTGCAGGGTGATGTCCAGAGGGAAGCTTACTTTGTAAAGGGGAGTTCCTGGGAGTGCACAGATTTAAGGAGGAGTCAAAAACTGTTTAAAATGTCTGTAGGCTTTAATAGTAATCACGGCGTATGGATGCAGTGGCACGCTGTGAGCTCGAGTCCACGCTCGCAGGGTGGTTGTGAAGGACACATGTGCAAAGTGAAGCGCAGCAGTGCCTGAGCTCATCAGAAATCTTGATGTTGGAGACTCTCATCATTTTCATTGGAGTAAAGCACTCGTTGGGAAACTGGTCGAGGTTAACGATTAAAACAACCTGGTTTGTGGTGGTAAACAAAAGCTGAAGTATGGATGCACAGTGCTTGTCCTGTGGCTCTAAATGTGTGACATTTAGAGATTCACACAGCAGTCCAAAGTGCTTTTAATCACAGTCACTGGAGTCACAATTATGTTTGTCTGGAGCGGTTTGATTCCCCCCTGAAGAGTGGAAAGCTTTCACTGCTAAGAGGGAAATCCTAGTTCATTCAAGGTATCTGTCTCCTCTTTGAAGCTAAAAACATTCCCTTGTGAGCGTGGGAGCAGAGAGAAGGAGGGAAGGTGATGTGGTCCAGTCAAAATCAGTGGCAGAAATCAGTGCTAATTTCTGAAAGGACTCTCACTTTTAATTTCTTTTGTCTATTTAAGCCAGTGAAGAAAAAGAAGATAAAACGTGAGGTTAAGATTCTGGAGAATCTACGTGGTGGCACCAACATCATTAATCTGATTGACACTGTCAAGGATCCAGTGGTAGGTGCCCGTGTGTGCGGTGGGCTTGGCTCCCTGCTGGCTGCAGGCACAGGGCAGGCACTGCTCCGTGGCTCCTGCTCTCAGCTCGGGTGCTGCCTGTGCCCATGCCTTTGTGCCAGCCAGGGGGGGTGGTGTCTATCTCATTAGGGTCTCCCGAGGTGGGTTGGTTTGGATGGGCTCGTGTTCCTCTGTGTTCTTTCTGTGAATCTCCCATGGCTGATGGGGAAGAAGTTTTTTAGCCTTACAAATTTTCTGTAAGAATGCAGACCCTGTAGCCTTCCATCTTCTGTCTGGCATCTGGAACATAAATATCTATTCATACTCCACACTTATCATATCTAGCATAAATATCTACCCATACTTCATATCCAAGTGCCAGGGCAGTTGGGTATGAAGCACTTCTTATCCTTCTGGTTGCTGTTCTGCAGTGACCAGAGGTTGTATCCTTTTTCTGCATTGCTGCAATTACCCCATTCCTTGGAAGTTCTCTGTGCCAAGCAGCTGTGCTGTCACCTCTGCCTGCTGCTGGAGCAGGGCTGCCTTTCTCCTGCTCTCCTCTTCCCACCCTGCTTCCCACAGGGAGCAAAAGCTTTCTCGGAGTCACTTGGAGTCAAAGAAAGGGTTTTAAACTGTGACTCTGTCTCTCTTGCAGTCGAAGACCCCCGCTCTGGTGTTTGAGTACATCAATAACACAGATTTCAAGGTGAGTCTGCGTGAGTGTGGAGGGGGGAGGCTTCCCATTTCTGTTGATTACTGTGATCTTGGGTTGCCAGATACTCCTTGAGAGCTGTGGGGGGAGTTTGGAGCTTTTGCCTATGTCAGCTTTACCGTCCTTTTCCCATGTAAATCAGAAATTTGTAAATAGGCTTTAGATGAGAATGAATCAAAAGCTTGTGTGCTGTGTCCCCTCTCAACTTTGAGGAGTAAGTTAACAGGTTAGATATTCTTGCTTCCCTCTCAATTTAGTAGTTACTGCTGTGGTATATATTCAGCCCAAGTTAATCCCTGCGCTGTGATGCTCTATTTACAGCAGTGCAGTTGAGGGAGGAGGTGACATCAGTTTGTGCTGGAATCTTTCAGACCCAGGGACTGTGGGGCAGCAGAGGCTGGAGAGTATGTTTCCCACTGCCAGCAGACCTGTCAGCAGGAGACTGAGTAGTCTTGAATACATCTTAAGAGCTTTTCTGCTTGTCTGAGGCTGCAGCATATTCCCTGGCTCTTCTGATTTCTGGGAAGCCCCAAATGATGTTACTCCTTCCCAAAACGGGGTCCTTCTGTCTGAGTGAAGCTCTGTCTATGCTACAGAAATGCTTTTAGCTGTCAGCAGTGTGCTGATACACAGAAGGGACATGTAATTAGCCACCACACCTATTTTAATGATATCTTTGCTTCCCCCATGTGAATCTTTACCCGAAGTCATTAAGTCGGTGGTGGAGAATTAATTGAGCAGTTGCCATTAGAAAGCCAGCAGTCATCCCTGCACTGTTCAGAGGCCTCTGTTCTTCCATGTTACAAGACTGTGCTTTCTTCTCCTTGTCTGTGCCAGAACGTTCTGTAGGTATGTGCCTCGTAGGGTGCAGCTTCAGCAGGTAACACCCAGAGCAGGACCCTGGGTTGGTGCTGGTGGGAAGGAGGCAGCTTGACAGCCGGGCACGCTGCAAGTCTCGTGTAGAGACTACAGTAACAATAACCTGCAGCCCTGACAGGCCAGGGCGGGGAGAGGAACGTTGCCTCCATGGAGTAAACAGCCAGAGAGGAGTGCTGTGCAGTGACTTTTCAGGGCTAAGTAAAGCAGGCTTGGCTTCGCTGGACTTCACTGGCATCAGCTGGGCTGTGCCAGTGTCACATGTGTGTTGGGAACGTGTCTCTGTGCTCTCCTGCTGACCCAGGGACTCTTCATAAGGCTGATGGTGAAAGCTTTTAACTATTTAGAGATTTATTTTTTGATTTTAAATATATGTCTCGAGATCAGATAGGTTGATAGGGCTGCAGCATACCTTGCTGAGTCATCAGAAATGTCACCCAGTAACTGAAATAACATTCATAAAGTGGAGCGTTCAGTAGTAACTTGAGGCTGGTGGCCAGTAGGGCACTTAACTGAAAAATGCAGGACTTGGAGTAGAGGGTAGGTCAACTTTCCCAGCCATGCAGAGAGCTGTGGCAGGCACTGCTGTAGCCAGCAAGGCAGCACTGGTCCAGCTGCAGCAGAATGAACAGTGCTCAGCTCTGCCTGTTGCATTAGAAACCATGCTTGTCTTTGCAGCAGATCATTTCTAGGCTCCTAGGAGAGAGCCTGGCTCCTTAAGGGAGTCCAGATACACAGCTCCACAAGTCCGAGACGAAGTATTGATGCTTTTGATGCCAATTGGTACAAGGCAGGAATAACTTGTCTTGGGAAGGCAGGTGTGTCCCCTGGGGCATGCAGCAAGGCTGTTTGTCTTCAGAGCGTATTTGTAACCTGAATTTCACCAGCTGTGTGTATGGGGTGTGGGGGTTATTTGTGCTGCGCTCCCATGAGCTCTGCTGCCTGTTTGGTAGGTTCTTGGGGCCACAGCTAACTGGTAGATCACAGAGCTGCTGCTACTCACGGGCGCCTGTGGATATCCTCTATGCAGAGGCTCCCAAGCTGTCTTTTCCCTGCTCTGAAGTGCCCTTGCTGAACCAAAAGTGCAGAGTAGATGAGACCGCTTGTGTTGGAGGTCTTGGCTTGCCCTGTACCTCTGTATATGAAGCAGCTGGAGATCATTCGGCCCTCATCCCCTCTGCTCCACTGTCCTGACCTCTCCTGAGCAGCCGAATTCTGCGGGAGTCAAGTGCCACGTGAGCTAACCCTGGTGACAGTGGCCTCTTCTCTTTGTTTGGAGATGGCTGCTGCTGCTCTGCCCATCTCTGCATTGACTTCTGAATTCAGCAGCACTGATGAGCACTGTGCATCTCACTGGCAAATCACCTTCAGGGCACGTGAGGGAGTTCCCAGGACAGCTTGTGTGCAGCAGGCAGTTGTTGACTGCTTTAGAGGACTGTGGTTTTCACTGTCCTCTTGGCAATAGCTGCTTGCAAGTTTGGATGTATCCTCAGTTGTCTCCCTTCTGGCAGTCTCTTTCCTTCAATAGTACTGTTTTTTGCTTAATGTTAATACTTCCACCCCTTTGCCCATTCAGGTGGCAGAACACTACTCATGTCTGTGCACCCATGCAAATGGCTGCTGGATTTCCTCAGCTTGGGCATAGGCAGAAGCTGTAGTGTTGAGCCTAAGCCATGGCTGTGGGTGATTCCAGAGCAGAAGCAGAAGCTTGTATTCCACATGGTTTGGCTATTTTTAAGTGATGGTATAAACAGGAGACTTAGGTGATACCTCCCTAGAGCTGCTTACATTTTTTTAGATCACCCAGCTGAGTCCCTTCTGAAAGTGAGGGCTGGGTACGTGCAGGGATGATGAGCTGGAACTGGACTAAAGGTGTGTTCTGCCGTGTGAGGACAGCAGCTTGTGTGTGGGGGTTTCTCTTCAGATCTGCTGTATTGTTCTGTGTGAGCAGTTCAGCTACCCACAGTCACCTCCCTTAAACAATAGCTGCACTGCAAAGCCATGCAGTTGATTAACTATCGGTGAAATTAAATGTCTTTTGCTAACTGGTTTCAAACTAGAAAAAAGCCGTCACATATTCTGTGGGGTCTGCGAGCGTAGCTGGTACTGTGCCTTTCACTGCCCTGAAGAGGCAAATCCCTCAGGAAGGAGGGGGCAGAGCCAGCTCTCGAGGACCATCTCTGCCTTGGGTTTGCTATTTTGTTCTTAAAACACACTAGTGGGTTTGCAGCTGATGGGCGAGAGAGGTGAGCAATGAAAGGTTGCTTCAGGATGCTCAGCCTGTTGGACTTGTGGGGACACCAGGCTTTTGTCCTTCCACTTCACCTGCACCCCAGTGAATTGTCAGGCCAAGCTGCTGTGAGGGAAGTGTGTGTGGGCGTTTTATCCTTGTACACCCAAAGTTAGTTTAAAAAGTTGTTTCCCTGCACAGGCAATGCAGAAGTATGAGAGATTCTCCTCCCTTGTGTGGCTACCAGGGGTGGGATGCTTTGGGAGCTGTTTCCTTTTTGTTTTGCTGCTGCCTGCCCTGCACCCCAAAACATTGTCTCTCTCCTCTGACAGCTCCTCACAGCCAACCTGTTGCCTTGCAGATGCCGCTTCCTGCACGTAGCCAGCTGTGTTGCTCACTCGAGGGAGCAGAATAAGCTTTGAACTCCTGTCAGCTCCATGGAGAGGGGAAGCATGTCTCTGCCTCCTCAGGCACTAACGGTTTTAGTTTATGATCAGTTATGTGATGTGTGCCAAAATATCACCAAAAGCTGGAGAGTGGTAGAGGCTGCCTGTGAGTGAGTTTGGCCTTTCTTGAAAGAATACCAGCCCAGGTATCTGAGGCCTCACAAGATTCTGAGTGCTGTCAGGTAGCTGAGCAGCTGTCTGAGCTAGGTGTGAATGATCCCCACAGTGATATTTCTGATAGTTTCACTCCAGGGCTGTAAGAGCAGTCCGTGGGACACGTCTCTAAAGGAGGTGTCTGCTCTCCTCTGCTAGGCTGGGCAAAGGGGATTTGGAGCCCACTGTCAAAGCCTTCTTGGGGTGGCTGCTGTTTGGGACCCTCTTGCAGTGGAAACCTTGGCTCTGTCCTTCTGAGCCTTCTGCATTCACTCTGCTGCTGCAAGGACTGTTCCCCACAGCAAGCAGAGCCTGGGTGCTGCTGGCCTTGGCACAGCAGAAGGTTCAGAGGTGCTGGGTTTCACAGGCAGCTCTTCTAAGGAAGTCTGTTGAAAGCTGATTGCCCAACGACTGCATCTGCTGAGGGCTATAAGTCAGAGAAGCAGCACCATTGTGGGCCTGAGGCACCGGTGACCCCCCTTCCATCCCCTCCCTGCATACAGGCAGTGAGAGGCAGAAGAGGCAGGGAATGGGGAAATGGGGTCTGTCCTTGCTCTGCTTCTGCCTGTCCTGCCCTCCTCCTTCCACCAATGTTGCCAGGTGAAGCTGAACAGGGTGGTGATTCCCAGAAAGACATGTTTTAACCATCTCTGTCCCCCTGTGTGTTGCTTACCTAAGCAAGCCACTTAAACAACCTCCTGGAAGGGCTCAGCTGTCCTCTGCTGATCCTGGCTCGTGTGGTAGAGCCACACACAACCCAGTCAGGAAATCTATCCCTGCTGTAGCTTGGGGCTGTGTCTTTTTTGCTCCTTGCTCACTTATCTGCTTCAGCGGGTTGCTCCCAAGTGTTGGGATCATCCCAGCTCGTGAGAATACAATCCAGCTTGTGTCCTGGAGGCTGTTGAAGTTCTACATGTGTGACACTTGTATGTTGCCAAATGATTTCCCAGAGCAGTATGGGGGGTGCTGGGTCTGTTTGGAACTGACCCGAAGTGTGGCAGGATCCTGAGGATCTTGACATGGGCCTGGAGGGGATCCAAGGCTAGAGCTGCTTTCTTGGAATGCAAATTTCACTCCCTCGCTCTGGGATTTTTCCCTGAAGCTGCCAAGCGGTGCCCGAGATGTGCAGCTGGCTCCCGTGCTGATGCAACCCGTGGTTTGACTGAGCTGTGAGATGATCCTTGTTTGTAGAAAGGGCAGAGGGATCTAGAATGTCCTTCCTTGCCCTACCCGGCGTCTCACCTTACTTTCCCTGGACGAGAGCACAGTCCAGCAGGGTTGGGCTGGCACCGTTGCCAATGACAGATATAGAGCAGAAGATCAAATTGGGGGCCAGTTGTGATCTGGGGTGGGAGCAGCAGGGTGATGAGCTCTCCAGTGACGGTTCTGGTGGCACAGTGCAGGTTAAAGTGTCCCTTGGGTCTCTGTCACTTCCACAGGAGTAGCTGCAGAAGGACACAGAGGAGAGGAGGGTGGCAAAGGTGTGCTGGCAACAAACCCTTTGCTGAGGCTCCAAGCTGTGCTCTCCTCAGCCCCACCAACATTTCACAGTGTTGAGTTGCTTTAGCCTTTGTCCTGGGACAGATGGTAGCCTCCATGGCTCTGGGGCTCTCTCTGCCCTTCATGCTTTCTCACCCCATGCTCTTCAGGTTAATGTTTTCCTCTCCCTGCCCCACCTTGAGCACTTGGAAGCCTTGTCTGTGTGTTCCCAGCCTGCCTGCCCTGAATGTTATCTGTGTTGTCGAGTCACTACTATGATCGCTTTGCATGTGAACAAGGAGTCAAGATCATCTGTGCCAGCTCCAGCATGCTCTGAAGGGCTTGTTCTCTTCTCCTGGGACAGACAGCCTGCCTGTCTCCTGCTGGAAGGAAGTTGTGGCAGGTCTGAATGATCCCAGTAGCATCTCCTGGGAGCCCTTGTGTCCTTTCTGGATTTCCTAGCTTGTAGCCCTGGCAGGTCTGAGGCCAGGGCAGCCCTTGGGAGTGCAGCATTCACAGGGGATCTGGAATGGGATCAGTGAATGGGGGTGCAGGAAACAAAACTAATCCAAATCTGGAGTATTTATTTTTTGCTTCTCTTTTTTTTTTTTTTTTTTTCCCTCCCTCCCGAAATCTGTTTCAGCAACTGTACCAGATCCTGACAGACTTTGATATTCGGTTTTATATGTATGAGCTGCTGAAGGTGAGTGGCATTGCATATGGCAGTCTGGATGTGGAGACCGGGAATGAGAGAGGCAGTAGCAGAGCTCACAGGGCACTGCTACTAAGGGATTACTTCTTTCATGTTCAATGCAGAATCCAGACCTCATAATCTGGGAAGATTTGGGAAGAGATCTGGTTACCTGGCTTGTTGCTGAGGTACTAGAGCCAAACTAGGGACCTTTTGTCACCTCCAAAGTCTCTGATTCTCTGGGGTCTGTTCTTTCTCCATGAAGCATTTGTGATTGCTAGTGGTCAGGTAGGGCTGTACTTGGTCTCCCTGTGTCTCTAGCACCCTTGGGCTTCTATGAGGAAGATCAGCTCCCTCCCAGCCAGGCCCAGCATGAGCACCGAGAAGCGTTTGCAGGGCTGGGGAGCTGGGTATTCTTTGGCATGCCAGGAGAGTGGCAGAGGGGGGTTGGCAGCCCTAGACCTCGTTCTGCTGCAGTATTCAAATGTTGCCCCAGGAGGTGCCTTAGACCCCTGTGTCTCTGGGTGGGGGCTCTAGAACACTTCAGGAACAGGCTGGCCAGCTCAGTGCCCTTTGGTCACAGAACCCCTTGGATGTGGTCTTGAGGAATAAAGCTTCTGGTTATGCTGGCTGTTACATGTTGATGTAACACTGGTCTTTTTCTTTGAGACCTCTCAGCCAAAGCTTTCTGTTCTCTTCTGGCAAAGGGCCAGGAGCGCCCTAAATACCTCCTCTTAACTAGCCTGGCTTGTACCTCCCCATGGAAACCTCCTGGAGCCATATGGCAGATCTGGGAGATCTGCTGCACTGCCTCTCTGGGGTCTCAAGCTGCAGGACGTGGGAGACAGCAAGGCTTTATGGAGAGCTTACAGGTTTTGACTGATCCCAGGGCTGCTCTGTGCTGATGTGCTGGAGCAGCAGCTTGGCTGTGTCAGGTCCTAGCAGGGCCTCAGTATTTCTGAGCTGGCAGTTTGCAGGTCCCCTGCCTCTGGAAATGACTGGGCTAGGCTAGAGAAAGCCCTCTGGACTTGGTGACTGCAGGAGGCTTCCTGAAATAGATCTAGTGGGCTCAAGGGAGGCTTTCTTCTCTGTACCCCCAAGCTGGCTGCTCCTCTTTGTAAAGGAAACACCTTCCTCATGAAGGTTGGAGGGAGCTTGGGGCAGCCTCGGGTTAGGGTGGCAGGGGTGATAAGGTTTAAGTGATTAAGACAGGCAAGAACAATTTCATCCCTGGAAGCATTCTGACCAAATAGCCAAGAGATTTCCTGTGCTGGAGATGCCAGGACCACCGTTTGCTGTGACTGTTGTTGGTTTAGAGGCCATGTGTCTTTGCAGGGCTGTTCCCTGAGGCCTTGCTGTGGTAGAAGCTATTGCCTCTTCTGCTTCCTACTGCAGCAGAGGCCCAAGGACAGTGTTGCTTCCCTGGCACTGATGTCTTGGATATTGAGTGACTGCAGGCTGTACCCTCCCTTTGTGCTGGTGGAGATCTCGGAGCATCTGATAGATGTTGATGGATGGATCTCCCCCCCCACCCCGGAGATGAAAAAACAACATTCCTACCCCCTTGCTGAAGGGAACAGCTGCATGGGGGGCGGGAGGGTGAGCGGTGCAAGGTCATGGAGCTGGAGAGGTTACATGTGCTCCTGCCTTCAAGCTTCAAGCAGCATCGCCCTCCCTCATGTGCTATCACTTGACTTTTGTAAGAGCAGTTTTGGCCTAAATGAGCAGGGCAGAGGTGACTTCCTAGCTCAAGTGTGTTTTGGGGCACAGGTGGAAAGCTGCCCTAGAAGGCCATAAAGCTGTATGCATGTAATAATTGTGCCCTTCTGCAGAAGGGAGCATGACCCAGGAAGCACAGGGCTGCCCAGTGTGGAGCATTGGGCTTGTCACTAGGTGGGACACATCTCTGCATCTTGTTCTTCAAAGACTGTGCAGGGGCCGTGTTTCTAGGACCTGTGGCTGCAACAGGATGTGAAATCAATAGAGTTGCTGCAAGCTTATCACCTCGTGTGCAGCAGAGGAGCTGGGAATGCCCATTTCTCATGCCAGCATTGCAGCACTCCCTTGTGAACAGGGCACTTTTGCTCCAGCCTGTTGTACTGTTAATGCCTTGCCTGTGCTTACAGACATGTCTAATGTGTGTGCGTGTGTCTGCCAGGCCCTGGATTACTGTCACAGCATGGGGATCATGCACAGGGACGTCAAACCCCACAACGTCATGATAGACCACCAACAGAAAAAGGTACTGTGGCACCAGGGCTTAGAAGCAGAGTTTTTGCAGGGAAACTTGAAAATGCACCTCTGTACCTGTAGCCTGGGCAGCTGTATTTACCCCTTTAACCTCTTTACTGGCTCCCCTGCACTTATGCCTGTGTCCTGAGGTGGCCCAGGTCCCACTGGGGAGCGCTGCAGTGGGAGTCTGTGGCTTGGAGGTTGCTCTTCCCCACAGCCAAAAGAAAACCACGCTGGGTTTCTTTGCTGGGAGGAGCAGGTCTGGGCTGTTGATCTCCACCCAGGAAGGTGCGTCCGTAGTGTGCAGAGGCCCTGGGCAGAAGAAGGGTAGCCTTGTCTGCAATACACGTGGCTATTTTTACCTAGGGGACGTGTGCTTCTCCTGTAGTACATCCTGCGTGTACCGTAGTGGCTTCCCCACTTCTGGGGAGTGCTGGTTAGATCACAGGAAAGGTTTGTATCCAGCTTGCTGCCATGGAAATGGGCAGCACAGGGAGCTTCTCCACCTTGTCTTCGTACTTGTACCTCGTCAGGGGTTGTGTATACCTGTTCCCCAGGGACCTGGGATTTGCAGCAGCAAGTGAGTTGCTAGTCCACAGGTCCCTCCCTGTCCAACAGTGGTGGACAAGGCAAGGTTTATAAGGAGAGGAAACCTCTCACTGGACATGCTGTACTTCAGTAACGTGGCAGGTCATCCATCCCCGCGTCTGCAGAGGAGACATCTGCCTTGCAGGATGTGGAGGGTCCCCCTCCTGCCTCAGTTCCTGATCTCAGCCCCCAGTTCAAATAACACTGCCTTCAGCCCAGCCCCTCTCAACAGTGGTTGAGGCAGTTGGCTTTCCCCTCTTGCCTAGTACGCAGCAACCTGTCCACTATGGCCAGTGCTGGTGAGGGGCCAGTTGCCCAGCAGCAGCAGTGTGCGTGGACTCTGGAGGCAGAGGAGCTCTGTAAGCTGGGCTTTGCCCCACCAGCTGGTAGCAGGGAGAAGGGAAGAGCCTGACTAGAGCTCTGCTGAGACCATCTCCTGTCCTCGGAGCTCCTCCCTGCACCTTGGGCTCCATGCTTGCATCACAGGATTGAGAGGTCTGGCCAGCATGGCTTCACCCAGCCGGCTCATACTGAGGCTCCTGACTCCGTGTCTCTTTATCCCATGTTCAGCTGCGGCTCATAGACTGGGGTCTGGCCGAATTCTACCATCCAGCTCAGGAATACAACGTCCGTGTGGCCTCTAGGTACTTCAAAGGACCAGAGCTCCTTGTGGACTACCAAGTAAGAATCTGCCTCCTCCTTGCTAGCCAATGATTCCACTTGTGGTTGTACTGTGGCTCCATTTAGGTTGTCTGATTTTGCCTGCCAGGGCACTGCCTGGTTTGGAAAGAGGCTGGCCATGAAGGGGAAAGGCCAAGGCTGCCCATGTGGCTGGGGAACGGGACCACGGTAAATGTGCCTTTTCTGACAGCTTCTCCTTTTTCCCCTCAGATGTATGACTACAGCTTAGACATGTGGAGTTTAGGCTGTATGCTGGCAAGCATGATCTTCCGAAAGGAGCCCTTCTTCCACGGCCAGGACAATTATGACCAAGTAATGACTTTGTTACCTGGCTTATTTCATGGGACATTTGTTACCGCCTCATCTCTGTGTGTATAGTGGGGAGGTTCAGGGGATCGGACCCCCAGGCTGGGAGGATGTTGCTGTACGCTTAGTTAAGCTGTCTGGGGTTATGCTTCACTGCCTTGTGTAGGAGACTGTTTCCTGCACATGCTACAAAAACAAGTTTTGAGGGAGATATTCTTTCCATCTGGGATGTTTCCAGAAGGAGAGCTCTTAGATTTGGGCAGCAAGATCCAAGAGGGTGATTATCTAATCTTTTGCAAAATCTGCAGGAGTGGTGGCCTGCCCTTCTGCTCTCTCAACATGCCTTTTGTTCCAGCTGGTTCGCATCGCAAAGGTCCTGGGCACAGATGAGCTGTATGGGTATCTCAAGAAGTACCACATAGAACTGGACCCGCACTTCAATGATATCCTGGGCCAGTAAGTGGAGAAGGGAGATGCGCCTTTTTGCCTTGTAACACAGAGATGGAGATAAACTGATATCCATCCCCTTGAAGGACTCTCAGCAAGGCCTGCTTTGATCTTCTGGTCACAGTGCTGGTTGCAGGTCCCCCATCTGGCTGCTCCTGTCATCTCAGGAGGTCACCAAAATGCCGTGTCTTTCGTTTTGCTTCTCCCATGGTCCATGGGCTATCCCCTGTTTTTTCCTTCTCCTGCTCATTGACATCCTAGAAGTGGAGATACAGACACTGGAGTTGAGTGTGGGCTGAGGGTCTCAAAATCTCCCAGATGAGGTTTCCGAAAAGGACGAGAGGTGGATGGTACAGTGAGGACAGCTGCTGTGAGGCTGGCTGGCAAGCCAGAGCACTTTTGGTCCCAAGGGTGTCACCCTGCCTGCTGCACGCCATCATCCCTGTAGGCAGAAGGGAATGTCCAATATCGTGCCTTTCCCAGGCACAGGACATCCACACAGCTCTGTGCCTAACGAAGAGAGTTCTCCCCCTTTGGCAAGGGCTTGCTGAGCAGTAGCTTTTGCAAGGAAGAGCTGCAGGGAACATCCGACACAACCGTCTCTTTTCAGAAGTGGGTAGTGGCAGGTGACTGCCCTGAGACCTCTGGGTGCTGCTGTGCTGGTCGGGGCTGTCAGTGACAGCTGATCCCTTTCCAGGCATTCCCGGAAGCGCTGGGAGAACTTCATCCACAGTGAGAATAGACACCTGGTCAGTCCTGAAGTCCTAGACCTCCTGGACAAGCTCCTGCGATACGACCATCAACAGAGGCTGACTGCCAAGGAGGCGATGGAGCACCCCTATTTCTGTGAGTTGGTGGAGAAGCTGGGGCCAGCTGGGGTTGAGAGGGGTCTTGGGATGTGGGGGCAAATTTCGGCTCCCTGCTCTGTGAAAGCCTGAGCAGCTCTGTGGGTTTTCAGGGCAGTTTCTCTGGGAAGGTTTGCCAGGGTGGAGCTTCCGCTTTATTAAGCAGCGTTTCCCCTTCCTGCCTGGCCTGTGTCTCCTGCAGATCCAGTGGTGAAGGAGCAGTCCCAGCCCAGCTCAGAAAACGCTGTGCTCTCCAGTGGCCTGACAACAGCACGATGAAGACTGGAAAACGACGGGTAATTCAAGATGTTTACAAATAAAAACAAAACCTTCGGTCACACAGTGAAGGGAAAAGAACCAAGGACCCCCCCTCCTTCCCTTCCCCTTTATACTCAGCTGAAATCTAACCTTGGGGGGGGGTCATAAACCTCAGTTCCTCTCTGGTGGTTGTGGTTAATGTAACTCTAACCCTGTGGTACCAAAGCCCTGGGCAAATGGTCTTGCAAGAGCTAAACATGTAGTGATATCCCCAGGGCTCAACACAACTGATTCTGGTTCACATCTCTATGGATCCTTCTCTTCCTTCTCAGTCTAGCCTTCCCCACCATGCTGGTGGGGGCAAATTGGTTGTTCCACCGTCAGCCCTTAGCATGCCTCTTTCTAAACATGCCTTTCTGACTTGTAGATTCTGGATGAACCAAATTCAGGCTGGGGGTCAGCAGGTGCAACTCTTTTTTGAGGTCCAAGTCCTACTGCTCACTCTGGGCTTGAATTTGGCCCTTGAATTCCAGTTTCAATTGCGAATGCTGGGACAATTGGGGGGAGGGGGAAGGTTCAGGAAAAAAAACAAAAACAAAAACAAACAAAAACAACCAACCAATCCACAAACCCAGTAGCCTCTCAGGATTGGGTTGGAGCATTAAAACGAGGGCACTGATCCGAGTTGCTGGGGAGAGGTGAGATCACCCCCTCCGGGTGTGTTTGACAAAGGCTCGCTCTGAGAAGAAACTCAATAGACCTGCTTTGGAAATTTGTGAATGTGAGGGCTGCTCTTGTGGCAGGAGAGGGGAGGGACTACCTGGACTTTCCCACCGAGCTCAGGAAAGTCAGTGTTGCAAGTTTTCTTGTGATAGGTGTGCAACCACGTACCTCATGACGTGGCTCCCATGAGAATTCATGCCAGACGCAGACTTGTGCCAGAGCACAGCTCTGGAGCGGTTCGATCCAGCACTGCGGGATGGAGGAGCGGAGAGGAGGCCAGGGAGGAGAGCACAGGGAGGGGGAAGGATCAGCAAACAGCAGCATGGTCTGTCAGGGAGGGAGCCGTGCAGCTGCTGATCCAGGACTTGGGATCCCACGTAGTGTTCTAACAAAGTCAGCCATTTGTGGAATTCTGGGGCGCCGATCCTGTGGCGGGGGGTGGGGGGGTTCGTCTTGTGGGTTCTTTCATCAGATCCCTCAATGGCTTTATAGCCCCACAATTCACAGTTGCCTCCTCTACTTGTTCTGTGTGTAACTTCATCAAGTGGTTCTGGTGACACTCAAACCTAGAAGCTGGAGATAGTGTTTTCCCACCAGCACCTAAACACAGAATTTCCTTCTGCGGCATTGTCGAAATAGTTAATTTTTTTATAAGGTTGCAATGTTTCTATTGGAAACATCTGTTTACATTCCATATTCCAATAAAGTTCTATTGGCATCGATAGCAGGTCAATCCATTTGTATAATTCACTGAAACCAATAAATATCTATACGTCTGAATGCCTGCTGCCTCAAATCTATGGGATGGCCAGAAAGAGTGAAAGCTGAAGGGACTTCCTCCTCCAGGAGGTCAGGCTGGCTCTCCTAGCCCCTGTTTTCTGGGTATTTTGGGATCTCTTAGTCTTTGGTTGCAGTTCTTCATGCTGTGAGCCCTGAGGGCAGATTGTCTCTACTTCACGGGCCACAGAGGCAGTGCAGGGGTTTGGGCGCAGCCTGGGAGTCAGCTGTTGTGGTACAGAGGACATGACCATCCGGTGCCCGAGGTGCTGCTTGCAGGCTCTGCTATGTGGCTGGTCAGAGAAAGTCACTGAAGCATGGCTAGAAGTTGGGGTTCTCCACATGCTTGTCTCCTCTCAGCCTGGGGCATAGTGTTTTCGTAAAGACGTGCTGAGCAGGGAGTGGCTCTTCCCTCCCACCCTGGGACATGACCAGTGCATGAGCTCTGTCACCAGCGTCTGGGCTTAGGGCCCTGGCCAACGCTGGCTCTCCTGCAGATGCTGCTGAAGGCTTTGGTGAGGGTTTCCAGCCTTTTGTCCTCTCTGCCTGACCTACAGGCTGCCTGGCCTGAGGCGTGCAGGTCCCTTGTGCTCTTAAGCTGTACTAATACCAGCGGGGTTGATTTGTGGTTTGAACATCAATTTCTGAACCAAAACCATGTCGAGCTGCTGCACTGAGAAGAGGAAGGAGTGGATGTTTCTCATGGCATGTCCCAGTTGCTCCAGGGAAACTTGCCCGTTTTCTTGGTCTTGTGTGTTGCCAGCTTCTGGAAGGCTGAGGCAGAAGAGGCACGGGGGAGAAGAACGGGTTCAGAGTGAGAATTTTGATAGGTGAAGAATGTTGATCATTGTATATGAGTGCTTGACAGTGTCCAAACCTGATGGTAGAGTTTCAAGGTGGTGCTTCGGGAAGTACCAGTTCTGTAAACTTGCATCAGAAATTACTTCCTTGTACCCTCGAGCAGAGGAAGAGAGATGCTCTTCCCAGCCAGTGAAATGGCTAAATTCCCTGGTTGCAGTAACCAGAGAGGCTGGAACAACCTGCCCTGTATCTCCCAAACCCTTACACGCATTGTCCTGCCTGTAGGGATAGCCAGGAGCTGGAGAAGATGAGTGTCTTGTCCTTAGGAAAGAAGGAGGCTGGGGAACATGCATCTTCGTATGCTTTCTCCTGGAGGAAGTTGGGCGAGTCCTGGTGCATGTCCTGGCCTTTCAGCTGGCCTGGCCCCAGCTTTCCAGCAGAGGTGGAACACAGGTTCAGCTGAGTGCCTTGTAAAAGGAAAGGCTCCAAAGCAGAACCCCAGCAGCCACTGAGGGGTGCGGTAAGCGGCTTCCCCAGCTTGTCTGTGCCTGTTGCAGTGGCACGGCCGGGAGCCTTTAGGACCCGAGGAGATGTTTGCAGCAATGGAAGGAGACAACGCAGGAGAGTGGAGAGAAAAAAGTCCTTCTGTATCGTAATTCAAAGAATTCCGTGTTGTTGAATAAAAGATTTTTAAAAGCATACGAGGAGGAGCATTCAGTGGGGAGGGAGCTGTGGCGCAGCACCGGCCACACTGGAGACTGATGAGAGCATGAGCTGTTCCCTGTGACCTGCCAGGACAGGCTGGGCGAGGAGAGAAGGAGGAACTACTTGTACAAAATCACCATGGGCAGAGGCAAAGGAGCCACTTGCCACCTTTGGAGTGCCCCTCTTTAGACCCCCACACTCTTCTGGAGGTGCCTGCCTGGGTGATGGTCTGAGCGCTGATGCTGGTACCTGCTTTTCCCGGTCTGTGCCACTTGGGCATGGCTCTGCCCCTGCATTCCAGGAGCTCCCACCTCTTCCTCTTTCTTGGGCCGAGACTCTCCTCCTCCCTGGCATCCTCACTGCAAAGCCATGAGCTTGGAGCTCCTGCCCACGGGCCTCTACCTCTCAGGAGTTCCCCTGTGGACATGGTGCTTCACTGGTAGCTCTCAAGAGAGCTTGGCTGCAGTACTGGTGGTCAACCAGTCTGTGCCCTGGTCTTAGATGTTAACGGACCACTTGAAGCTCTAGTCTAAAAACCTCCAGCTGGACTCGGTATGCCTGTACATGGCCACTTCTCTCCCCTTGGCCCCTTCCTTCGCTGCCCATGTGCTTTGCCCTACACAGTTTTCCCTGATGCTGCTGAAGCTAAGGGTACCCCTGAGACAAGGCTCCTCACTGGGAACGACAGGCCTGTTGCTGGCTCAGGTAGGGTGAGCCGTGGGCTCCTGCCAGCACAGAACCACACTGCGCTGCTCTCACCCAGTCCCGGGCAGCAGCTGGAGTGGAAATGCTGGAGTGAGTCCTCACACAGAGCGGTACGGGTGGAAATCTGCCAACACAGCCCTTGTGCACCGCACCTGGAGATGTGCCAACATGGGGCCAGACGTGGACATGTGCATCAGGTGAGTTCAAGCTCCTGGTGCTGCAAGGCAGGGCTTGGCCCGTTTCCCAGCCACAGTGTCGTGACAGCCCTGTTGTATTCCAGACTCGGCTGATTTCGGGTACCTACTTTCAAAGAGGCTCTTTTTTTTTTTTTGGCTGGTGGAGATGTGGCCAGTGATGAGAACCTGTGCCTGTAGGGAAGAGCCCATGGTGGAGTCCACCTGAGGTCCACAGGTGCTGGACAGAAGGACCACTGCAAACACACACTGAACTGATGTTCCAAGTGCTATTGTTACCTCATCCACCCCTCTTCTGACACCGATGGGTCATGCCTGCTATTCCCACCTCAGGTCCTCTCCAAGTTAACAGCTTGTCTCTGACTTTTTAACTGTTGCTTATCAGAAGTAAACTCTTCCTTGCCTGCCCCTTGTTTTGTGTCCTTGTCCAGAGTCAGAAAGGTTCTGTTCATTTGCATCCCTTGCTTCCTGCAGGATGTGCTGGCACTGCCTCCTTCTGCACACACTGATGTTTACACCCCTGTTCTCTTCTGACACCTTGCCCAGCAGCAGCCCAACTTCCTGCTGCTCCTCCTCCTGCACTGCTTGGAGGTCAGCCAGCAGTTCCAAAGCCTTTGTGTGGGTTTCCTCAGCACCTAATGCCACTTCTGTACCTTGTCTCACCTTGCATGCGGTGGCTATGGATCTCTGTCCAGTTCCATTTTTGGTTTCCCCGTTACAGCTGGCCTTCATCCAGTCCTGCTCCCGTAGGAAAATCCAGGCTGGGAGAGACAACTGGAGTCACCTGGACAAACCCTTGGATCTCACGCTCCTTGCAGAACTCATGGCTTTGTTCTCAGCTTCGCCATGCAGTGAAGACTTTGGGCTCTCAAAGGTAGTGTCTGAATCTGGTTCTGGTTTTACTGGTCCAAGCTCTATCCTTTCAGCTGGTCTGCTGGGCCACGCAGCCAGCCTGAGGCACCTGCTGTCCAGTGATGGCTTCAGCTGAGAGGGAGCTTGTCCAGGTTAGGATTTCCCAGGCCACAAACCTGGACTGTGTGCTCTGAGGCAAGCGCAGACTTGGTGATCCTGGAGAGACCTGCTATGCTTTGCTCTATTAACTGCACCCAGCAATGTGAAACTTCAGAGGAGCAATGTTTCAGGAGCTTCCTGAAGATCTCATTCCTCTGAAGGCATTGGATTGCTGGTAGCTCTGACAGGCAGGAAATGCTTTGGTGGCCAAGCATTTCTGAAGCAGGCAACCTCTCCTCACTTCTTGGACCAGATTAGTCTCTTAGGATGGGCCGTTTCCTCCACCTGCTCCCCAAAATCCAATTTCTCTACACTGTAGGAATTGGGAACAGGTGTGATGTAACATGCCAATATCTTCCTCGTGATCTTCCAGGTAGACAACACCAATGTGTGAGTCTTGTTGAAATACATCTCCTAGAGGCCTCTTTCTGAATGCCAGCCTCAACTATTAACCTATGTCAAGGCCTCATCAGCCTTCCCTGTTCCTGCCCTCTCCTTTAGCCTGCATGTGCCTCAGCAAGGAAGAAAGGCAACAGGTATTATTTTTTGTTAAAATTCCTTGAGAAATAAAAACAATTTGAAATGTATTTCCATGCGCATCCCTTGCAGCAAAACATGGCAAGTGGA